CAACTAACAGCCCAACTGACTAACTAGTTTGTCGACTGCAGTCACAGCGTGTGCTCGTCTCCTCCCTCGTCTCATCCAACTCGATCATCACCAGTCGCCTTCCTCCCTCGCTCCTCCAGTTACACTAAAAAGTCCTTTACACTTGTTTAGAGTTATGACAAAGAGATTTGGAAGGAAGACTGTCCCCATGAAGCTATTAAAAAGGAATGAGGTTGAAAAAGCATATCTGAAATTACTCTTTTAAATCATTAGGGTTGTTTTTATCATTTATTTAAGCCACTTTTTGCATGTTTGAGTATTAATAAATAGTATTTTTAAGTTTTTTAAAACAACTGGATTTACACTAATGATGATTTTTATTGCAACTACTAGTTAAAAACATGCTCTTATTCTAGAAAAAATGTAGTATACATATATATATATATATATGCATATTTTTTGTTTAAGAAAATTGATTTACTGTAGTTATCTCATTACTGTATCTCTGACTGTATGAAGTATAATCTATGCAGCCCTTCCCCTCCTCCACATGTTGCTGATCAATGCCAGCCAGTCTTTATAGTTTAAAAACAAAAAAATACAATGATCTGCATTGTAATTGAACACATGTGCTATTTAGCAAATCTTTATTCTTCATATCTATGTAAGTCAATGAGTAATACATGTATTAAAAATATTGTGTTAGCAGATTTTTTCAACTTTGAAAATGAAAAATACTTAATGTAATACATATTTGTTTAACATTTTTGTAGATATCCTGTTTTTACTAAAGGTTTTATAAAAATGTGAGAATTTTGTACTGGCTCAAGCTGAGCTTACGCATCTAATTCTGCACGTGTTAAAAGAGTGTTCAGAATGAAAACAGGAATGGGCAAGTCAGAACTAAAAGATAAACCAACAATGGTATCATCAAGGAAAAGCTTTAGATGTCTTTAGCCGTTTTTAAGTGTATGCCTTTTTAAAAGTAAACTTTCTTTGTTAAAATCAAGAGTAAAGTAAGTTTCCATGTGTAAAACAGAAGTTTTATAAGATCATTTGAGGACCTACTGTAGGTACACATGAAAGTATTATCTTTCCTTACAGATTCCAGTAATGATGACTCTAAAGGTTTTCTAAGGCCTTTATTTTCTATCAGACATGCAGACACCAATGTGGGCTCCTATCTGTTCTTTCAGGACATAACAAGGAAACTGGTGACACAGCAGTCTCACCACTGAGGATATCCCACCCTGAGAGAGGCTGGGGGGTTGAAGACCTTTCCATGCAGCGGCCAAAGAAACAGGGCGCTCTCAAAGAACCGCTTGCCGCACTTCACGGCCTCTGAAAGCCTGTCCCTCAAACAAAAGAGGCAGCAGGTCTTTAGCACACATTACCCATGAGAGAGCCCCAGCTGACACCCTTTTAACATGGGGTCACTGCTGCCAGAATGAAGGCCACAACCCCTGGGAGCTCCTGACACCCCTTTGCCTCGACTCGTTGCTTCTACGTTGGCTGCAGCAAACTGGTCAGCGGGCGGGGGGCTGGTCAGACTTAGAAATGTAGGGTTGGCATCTTAAGATATATATAATATTTCTGATGTTAGGAAGAAAGCTCGACCGGTAGCAGTGGGATTAAATAACGAATTAAGAATGTCGGATACTGTTCAGCTGGGTTTATGTGGTTGGGTCAGGCTTTAGCTGGCTGGGTCAGACAGACCCATCGAGGTCCAAAGTGTAGCACTATGATGGCTCTGAGGACTTAGAGAGAGGTCAGCAGACAGATGGGAATGGAAATGAGCTGAGCTGATTTTAATCTGGCTGATCCAGCCATAACTGTTTACATTAAAACACACGTGTAACCTGGACATACACGGCAGAGCCCACACACAGTCTGCTGATATTCAGAGCTTAAGGATCATTTGAAAAGAAGAATATTTCATCTTTAATAAAACCAAATCACCTCACCCTCTGCTTCTCTTTATTCCAGGTTTGAGGATATTTGCATGGAGTGATGAGAACAATGAGATGGGAAACAGCATAACTTGGACTCACTTGGATGGTTTTAATATCCATTCCTATTAAAGACCGTCCACCCAGAGCCCCCTTTAGCTCACCGCTCAGTCAGATGATTGATCACAATGGCCTTACTTCTAAGGGATTTTGTTTTTACAGTTAATACTCAGAGGTACTCCACTTTTGACTTAAAGTTTTCTTTTAATTACAATTTCAATCCTCCCTCTGAAAGATTTTCATGCTAATCAGAAAAGTCAATGTTTAAAATCAGCTCATGCCTGGGTCAGCATAATGTGGGAACTGACTGTGAAGTTGGAAGTTTAATGCACCAAATTTATGGAGAAGCTGTCTTAAAACTCCAATATGATGAACAGAACCATGATACCAGCAAACAAAAGAGATAATGCTATTATAATGAGACTTGCAGAAATAAACATAGGCTTAATACATTTTTAATGTGTTTCTGCTTTGGCTTTCCTGGGCATACAGATGTCAGACTGTGTTTAGCCTCTGCAGACATTGAAAAAAAAAATGAAACCTAACCTTTCCATTTCAATATAATGGGTAGGAGAAAGAATGGTTGGATGGTGCAGTTTACAAGATGAATGCCAAATCATTTCCCTTTTCATAAGAGTCTGTTTTATGCAGATAACTCTCTTACAATAATCTCACATATATATATATATATATATATATATATATATATATATATATATATAAAGGCTAATATCTCTAGTCCTAGAAAGGTTTCTAAAAAGTTTGAGTTGAGCACAAATTTCTGATCAATATTTCTCATTTTGAAATTAAAACTAATAACGCTGCCATTGGAAATGCTGTTTGTTGTGTATATTTCTCCATCCTTTATCAGGAAGCCATCTGGCAGCTGGAGTGGACACAAGGCCGTGAGATTGGATGGTGCAAAAAGAATGGGGGGTTGGCTGGGTCATTATCTTCACGGGGGGAAAAGGGGTCAGAGGTTATGGCCCTTTGACAACACATGTCAAGGCCCGGCTCACACACCTTTCAGCTTCTGAATGGGACGGTCTGCAGCGTCCGCTCTGCAATCTGCCCCCATCCGCACGCCATGCAAAATAGCTAACTGACCAAATGCTTCATCAGATGCAAAGCAGGGAAACTTTGATGATGATTAACACTTGGATTGCTCGAGAAAATCTTTAAAGTCACATCCACATTGAACATCACAGCAGCTTTTCCTTGTGGCGCCGTCACGGCTCTGCTCCTCTTTCAGCGCACAAGGAGGGAGTCTAGACAGATGATACAAGCAGACAAGGTAACCTGTCTCTTATTAATAAAACACTCCTGACATCAGAGAGGCTGTGGCAGGCCGATAACATTGTGTCTTCATTGGGGCTGGGTAAGCCGAGCCAAACGGAGCCACGGTGAGTCCAGCTCTGCCTTTCAGCAGCTTGGCCTGTCAGGCTGATGTATGGGCAGAACGCTGGCGAACGACTCCCCGAGGATCAGATCTGTCTGCTAACTGGGACACGAGTGACAGTGAACCACAGCAAACCCACATCACCCCTGACTCCATCCTCCTCTCCGCTACGCTGCCTCCATGATGCTCTGTGCAGTTTATCACACACACACTCTGAAAATCAGTCAGGACTGGAGATTTGGAGAGAATCATAACTACACAGCTGATACATCAACCCTGCTGTCTGATGTTAGAAACGCTCCTCGATGCTTAGAAAGAGAAAACTGCAGACATAAGATTTCCTGTTAGAAATCTATTAGTTTATTTCCTTTATATGCAACTTAGTTTAGATTCCAAATCTTTAGTCTTCTCCTTGCATAAGACATCTTTTGGGCCCAGCTCAGACTGGAGCAGCGCCACAGTGATGCATTCAGAGAGGTCCACTCATTATCAGAGTCCCACATAGCAGCTGCTCTGTGACGAAGATTCAGCCACCTCGTCTCTTGGCCCTGAGCATCCCTGACCCACGCAAAGAGCTGCAACCCCCCCACTACACACACACACACACAAACACACACACACATTTCCATATTCTATAAACCTCATTAAAGCCTGCTCCCCAAACCTTCTGACGCCACCCCGCCTCCCTCAGACTCATAAAATATACCGAGATCTCATTCATCAGGATGCAGATGACCTTGGATAACCCTGAGTGAGTGCGAGGGGGTTTAGGTGACAGGATGGATGCCCGTAGGCATCAAAACCTCTTTCACATTTTAATGCATGAAACTTGAAACTTTATTGGATTTTAATTGGAGGTTATGTGACAGACTGACACACACTAGTGCCTAATTGTGAAGCGACAAGAAAAGGAAAATTCTGGAAAGTCCAAACTCCTTTTTTTGCACGGGACCATCATAAAATATGTCATTATCACTCAGATTGGATGGTGATTGCTTGCTCACATAAATGCTCAACTCTTGGCACAGATTTCCAGTTAGATATAGGTCTGGACTTTGACTAGGCCACTTTAACATAAGGACTTTTATTTAAACCCTACATGTTTTGTTCTCGCTTTCTATTCATTAAGATCTCATTATCGAGTCCATCTTAGACCCCACTTTATTCTCTTTCCCTTTGCATTTATCTCCATCCATCTTTCCCCTCCATCAACTCAAATCTCCCCATCCCTAAAGCAAAGCATCCCTACAGCATCAGGAAGCCACCACCATGTTTGATTGTGTAGATAATGTGATCAGGATGACTTTCTACTACAAGGTAGTTTGAAGGCAAAAAAAAAAAAATCAGTTCTGATCTCATCTGTTCCCTACATGGCTATGACCTCATGAATTAACCCAATCAAGTAAAACTATAGGATAACAACATAAAAATGTGAATATGACGCGTTGAAACAGGGGTGCGCATGTAAAGGAAAAAAAGAAAGACAGTTTGGGGGTGGAGATCAGAATGAATGCTAATCAATGCAGATAATGCAGAAGGACTGGGGATGTTGAAATATCCAGAAAAAACAAAACAGATCCAGATCAAATAATGATGAAGTAGATCACACTTACTCTGCAGGATTTAGTGGACAGTTTCCCCATCAGATCATATTTCCCCTTCAACTCTTTCAGCAGCTGCTCCAGGTGACTTTTCTCCTCCTTGTCGCTGTAGTCCGGGTCTAAGAGCACATAAGCTCTCCAGTTGGCCGAGTCGAAGCCCCAGTGCACCGTCCGGTTCTCCAGTCTCTTGTGACTGTGGACCACAAACTTGTGCGGTGGGAACATGAGTCTGCAGTCCAAGCACTGAATGCAGGCGGCGGCCGGCCCCGCGTAAAGCTCCGGGACGAACAGGCCTTTGCAGCGACCGAAACACTCATGGTAGACCTTGAAGCTCCTCTCGGTTCGCTCCAGCTCCAGGGAGCCCAGCTCCTTGTTGCAGTGAGGCGGGTACGTCCCGCCGTAGATGAGCGCGTTGCACAGGCGCTCTGCGTCCGTCTGGGTGATGAGTCCGCAGGACGGAGCGGAGAAGGGCAGGATGCCCACCACTTTGAGGATCTCCAGCTGGTCCGCCGTGCAGCGGGAGCAGTAGATGTGCAGGTCGTCGCACACCGAGTTGATCTGTTGCAGGGAGAAGTCTCTCAGGACGCTGTTGAGGATCTGCGGGAGGCACAGCCGCTTCTCCCCGCCGACCACGAAGCAGGAGATGGGCTCCCGCTCCAGGACCGTCTCGCATCTCTCCGTGGATCGGTCCGACGGGATGAAGAGCGGTCCGGACATGAGCGGAGGCGTCTGGGCCGGTAGGGAGAGCATCATCTCCGCTGCTTTGCCGTCTTTGGTGAAGAGCGAGTCCTGGTGCCACCGGGCGGAGAACGCCGCCGGGCCGCCGAGAGAGCGCATGGAGCTGATGTGGAACTGCTTCAGAGTTTGCTGGAGTCCGGGATGGGGCTGGAAGCCGGAACCCTCCATGTTGGCTGCGGCTGGAAACTCAAACTGAAAGCTGGGGCTAAACTCTCTGGGTCTTTCCTTCTCAGCATCCGGCAACAAGCTGGCTAAAGCGCATTTCCATGTCGGAGGGGAAGCTTCCGAAGCGCGTCCATTCAGGAAACAGAAAGCTGACGGTAGTTCCAGAAAAAACAAAAACCAAACTCACAAATAAAGTGGTGAAGGAGAAGTGGTTCAATCAGCGGGTTTAGTCTGTTTCAGAGACCCTGCGGTTTTACGCGCTCCGAAATAAGCTGGTCTGCTCAGTCTGGCGAACTCTCAGTCTGTCTCCCAGCTCAGCCAGCCAGTGTGCGAGTCTCTCTCTCTCTCTCTGTTTGTTTGTGTCTGGTTCAGTCATTGAATCCCAGCCAGGAATGTGACTGACTCCCCGGGCTGGCTCTTCCCTCAGTCAGCTGTTCCTCCCCCTGCTCCATGGCAGCTGCACGCAGAAAAAAAAAGAAGCAAACTAAACCAGGGCGAGGGTGGAGCTCCTGGAAATGAAGCAGAGTCTGCATGTGTAACACAAACTAAACACTTTATTATTAATAATTATAACCCCTACTCATCTGTTGCATAACCTTCCACGCTTTCTGTCTGCATATAAGTGAAATAAATAAAAATATTTGGTTTACTATTATTTGATTATGTGCGTTTACACAAATGTAAATATTAACATCCCTTAGCAAAAAGTAGTTTATAAGTATAATTAAAGGTGCACTAATTTCATACTTAAAATCAGGCACTGTACTTAGAGTTTACTTTTTCTAAACTATATTTCATATACTTAACAATAGTATAGTCAAGTGTACTATACTATTGTTTACTTTATTGTTTACTAAAGTATACTTAAAGTGTACCTTAGTAAACTTAAAAATGTCCCAATTTAGTTATAAGAAGTATTACTTTAGTAATACTTCAAGTACACTAAAAGTAGATTGTTTGTTATACTTTCTAAACTTATACTTAAGTATTCTTAATAGAATTTACTTCAAGTATACTACTTTTTGCTAAGGGACAAAAGACTAAAACACTAAAGTTCCATAGATGAGTGCGTCCCCCCCCCTTATGATTTGTTTAACTGTTTTTATGTTTTTTATAACTTGGATTTAGACTAAAACCTACTCATAAAAAGACTTCCTATGTAAATGAGATTTGGCAACAGGGTAATTTTCCCTGAAAATAAATTGCAGACATTACATTCCGTTTTCTGTTTTTATATGTTTTGTATAACTTTTTT